AAATCTTAAATTTTATTCTGGGCTTTTTGCCCTGCCAGACAAATTTGGATATGTCTTTCTGCCACTTCTTGAAACAGTCCATCTTATCCAAGATCTGGAGTGTCTGAAACAAAAACAGCATTCTAGGCAATACATTCATCTTAATGACAGCAATTCGGCCTAACAAGGAAAGTCTCAATCTTGACCATATTTGACCAAGATCACAAAGAACTTGCATATGGGAGTGGATTCAGCATGGACTGATACAAAGGACAATGATCAGATCTTCCCTCTGGGGGCAGGAAACTGCCAACTCCCCTCTGTCACCTGGAAGTGACTCAAGGGGTAGGGGGGAAAGGAGGAACCAGCCAGGTGACAAAATACTCAGGTTACCACCAACTCCTCCCTCAACCCCTCCTTTCTGTAATGTATGCATGATGTTTCTGGGGGTGGGCTTGACCTAGAGGAGGGGAATTTCAAAAGTTTTTATAAGACCTGGCACACTATTTTTCTGGGTCTTTCCTCTCACCTGCAAGTGAGGGGAGCACCCTGTCGCGACAGTCTTTCTTCAATAAAGACCAAGCCTACAGGCTGCTGATTTGCTTCAATTTACTCTGGTTGGTGTCTTTACTTTTTGTCCAAGGGAGCCCTCAGATTTTTCCGGTAACACAATGCACTGATAAATGTATTTACATCCTGATTTTTAGAAAGTCATAAAAAATCGCTCCAGTATTGGATTTGCATCTTTCCAACTTTGTTCTGTTCAGGAAAGGAATGGCTACCAAGGGGGGAGCCTGGGATGTGGGCAGCCGTAATTCCTGAAACCTGGGATCCAGGTACACAGCAGCCTCTTGCACAAGAGGCAATCCCTGGCATCCTGGCAAATGGGTGCCAGGCCACCCTGTGGACAACAGCAAACCATCCAAGAATGGGTTAGGTTCTTGGTCGGGACAAAGAGGTGGGATTAACTGGGGGGGGGGGACCAGGAACTTGTAAATATTTCTTTTGTCTTCCTTGATGGGTGTGACGTGGAGGTCAAGAGGAGGATGGGGACAAACCTGATGCTCAGGTTTCTGTTACCAGACCCTCCCAATTTGTGATGTATTAGTGATGTAATTTTAGGGGTGTTGTGGGTATCTTTGTAAAACTGATAAAAGTGGGAGCCGCCCTTTGTTCTGGGCTTCTTCCTGCTTCTCCAGTGTGTTAGGTGGAAGCCCTGTTGCCACAGTCGTTTGAATAAAGACCAGGCCTACTGGCGGCTGCTTTGCTCCTCTATTCCTGGCTGGTGTCTTTGGTTTTTGTTTTTTTTAAGAAATATTTATTAAAGTTTTACAAAAAACAGAAGTTTACAGAATAAAGTTTACAGAAAACATAAGTTTACAGAATAGAGAAAATTAAAACAAAATTAACAAACTAGAAAACAAACTCGGTATTGCGGTATTGGTAATAAGATTAACGGTAAGCGGTATTGGTAATAAGATTAACAAGAATATGCAAATACGGATTGATAATGGATGAAAATACATAGTTACAATAGGTTAAGATATTGAGTAAAGATAAATGAAAGAGGGTAAGGATTTTCCTATAACACCCTTGAAGGGTGCTGGAGTTTTAAAAAAGCAGTATGAGACAGAATTAAAGCTGCAGGCAGCGATGGAGGAATCCTCCCCGGCATCCAGTGCGGGGCAAACTGCCCGGTGACACACGCACAATGTCCGTACAGGCTGCGCATGTGCGGCATCCTGCACAGAGTATGCACACGCAGCAGCCCGTACAGTTGCCGTGCAAGAGGCAGCCCGTACGGACGCCCATATGGATGGCACGCGAGAGCGGCAGCCTGTACGGTCACTGTGCGAGTGGCAGCCCTTACGGACGGCACCTGAGAGCGGCAGCGCGGCGTCCGTACTGACTGCATGCACCCTCAGCCGCTCTACAGCTGGGGGGAGCAGGGGCCATCTTGTGACACCCCCCCACACCCCCAGAGTGGCACCCGGGGCGGCCCACCCCCTCCGCCCTCCACTTCATACACCCCTGCCTGCAGGGCAGCAATCCATCAATCAGACTAACATTCAAGCAGTCATATGAAAACCCAACAAGCGTCCGTCCGAATATTATACCCGTTTGTGCTCAGCGATAAAGATTTGGGGAGGACAAGACCCTGAGAAGGCAGACAGCCAGCTCACCCATAAAGTTTTCTTTAAAGATCAATCAGCCCCTGTCACCAAAAAGGTCGGGAGTATCCAGCCAGGCTATGAGAGGAAGCTGATCTTTCCAAAGTGTTACGGTAAAAATCTGGGTGCGGGGCTACTCTGCCACCCAGCTCGTCGGACTAAGTCCGCGGGTCCCTGCGGAAGAAAATGAGCTCAGCCGGGCACAGGAGCAAACTGCAGAAGATCCAAGTTTATTGCGCAACAGGTTCAAGACGAGATTGAACAGCGAGAAAGGGGTGACATGAACTTTTGAAACTCCCTCCAGAATACAGTGCAAAATACATCCCAGTTACATCATGAATACATTAAGAAGAGGTTGGGTTACACAGATTGCATCATGAATACATTATCTGAAGAAGTGTGCATGCACACGAAAGCTCATACCAAGAACTAACTTAGTTGGTCTTTAAGGTGCTACTGGAAAGAATTTGTTTTGTTTTGACATTAAGAAGAGGTTGGGTTACACAGATTACATCATGAATACATTAAGGAGAGGTTGGGTTACACTGGATTAACATATGGAGGAGGGAGGGGGGAATATGCAGAGCTGGAGATATGCGCAGATAAGCACATCCTGATTACCGGTGATGAGAAGACAATGGTCCATGTATGCATATTCTGTCACCTGGCATTGCCCGGAGGAAAGGTTTGGCAGAGTGATTTGACAGGATTAGGGTCTTGACACCTTACTTGAGGGATTATGGAGGACAGGGGAGGTGTCATGGAGTCCTAGAGAAATTGAGCAAATTGGCACGTTGATTTTCTATGAATTTTATAGATTTTAGTCCCTTTTGACATTGACAATTGGAAATAAATGGATATATTGTAGCGAAGAAGAAGGTGAAGAAGACATGCCCCCCCTTCCGTATCACAAAGCAAGGTCCATCTTTAACAGCAGAGATGTAAGGGAAAGGAGGAGATTAAGGAGGACGGGGAGGAGGAGGCGGCAGCCGCAGTTCTCACAACAGGAGGAGGAATGGCAACAGCAGCCTCCGCTGGTCATGGACTTGTTGAAACCAGGAACAGGGGGTGGGCAGTTAAACGACTCCCCCACAGTCCCAAGTCCCCACCACAGCCTCTAACTAAGGCCAGGGCAATGGCCATTGACACAGGCACCAGACACACACAACAGGGAAAAAGCTCAGAAAAACCGTAGCAATAAGTGAATACCATGTATTGTACTGTTCCCCCCGACTATCCAATATAGAATCAAATAATTGCCAAAACTCAATGGTTTGCGCCTTCCTTTTCAACATTGCAATGTATCGTTCTTTCAGAATATTTAGCTGCTGACACATCGCGACGTTGGAAAGCTGGTCTCACCTGGCCCTACTCATGAGGTAAAGGTAAAGGGACCCCTGACCATTAGGTCCAGTCGTGGCCGACTCTGGGGTTGCGGCGCTCATCTCAATTTATTGGCCGAGGGAGCCGGCATCCAGCTTCCGGGTCATGTGGCCAGCAGGACTGAGCCGCTTCTGGCGAACCAGAGCAGCGCATGGAAACGCCGTTTACCTTCCCGCTGTAAAGCGGTCCCTATTGATCTACTTGCACTTTGACGTGCTTTTGAACTGCTAGGTTGGCAGGAGCAGGGGATTCGCCCCGTCACCCCGGCGTGGGGATTCGCACCGCCGACCTTCTGATCGGCAAGTCCTAGGCTCTGTGGTTTAACTCACAGTGCCACCTGCGTCATGAGATAACTGGGGCCAATTCCATTGGATGTGTCGTTTCTCTCCAATGAAGTCTGTTACGGAAACATTCTGGGTGCAGGTTTACTCCGCTGCTCAGTTCGCTGGGTTGCCACTTCCCACTGGCCTTGTCAGCAAAAGAAGGAATTTCCAGCAAAGTACAGTGGTACCTTGGTTCTCAAACGCTTTGGTTCTCAAACTCCAAAGTAAGTGTTCCGGTTTTTGAACATTTTTCGGAAGCCAAACATCCGATGCAGCTGTCAGCTATTGTTTCCAGGGCACCTGCACCAATCAGAAGCTGCACCTTGGTTTTTGAACCTTTCGGAAGTCAAATGGACTTCCAGAACAGATTAAGTTTGGCGCTTTTGTTTTTCCTATTTATTTTTCTTTCTTTTTTAAAGTCTTTTTAGTTTAATTTGTTTTTGTGACTGTGTGGAACCCAAATTTTGCAACCTTTCCTCCTAGCAGGATTTCTCCATTCCCTCCATCGCCTCTGTCATCTGTTTCTGAAGCTTTCCCAACTCTACAGTATCCATTTTATCCTTTTTTTTTTTAGTTGTATGCTGCTGTGCAATTATATGTATGGGGTGCTGCTGTTTATAATAATAAATGCAAACAATAAAAACCATATAAAAAGCTAAACTCAGAAATCAGCTAACCTTTGTGGAGCGAAGTCTTGCCTGCCTGGGCTTGTCGGAATAGAAACCTGACCAGCAGGTGTTTGGAAGTGGACGCCATCTCCAGTGGCAGGGAGTTCCACAGGGTGGGCAGATGGCACTCGGTCTGTGCCCCTTCCCCGTTTTGGGCAAGTGCCCAGGGTCCCCAGGGTCATCCCGCTGCAAGGCAGAAAGGGCGGCCTGCAGAGGATGCCTCCCAAGGGGGTCTCGCAGGGTTGGGGGTCCCACGCTGCGGGGGGGGGGGCTCCGCAACCCTCTTCTCTTTGCCGAGGGACCTTTCTCCCGCGCGCCAGCAGGGGGCGCCCGCCCCCCGCCCTGCCCGGGCTCCTTTTCACGTGCAGGTGTGTATGCATGCGCGCGTGTATTCTGGGGGTGGGAAGGAGAACCCCCCTCCTCCCGGTGCACTTCCTTCCCGCGACCACTGGGGGAGGAGGGGGCGGAGTCTTCTCGGGGGCGGGGCTCCCCTAGGGGCGGCTCCCCCTCCCGGCCTGCCCCCCCCCGCGAGGAAGTATTTGCACTGAAAAGAAAAGGGGGGGCGGCAGAAGAGGCGGAGCTGCCAGAAGAGCCCCCCCCCGCCCCGCTGCTGGCTCGCCGCCTCTTCCTCCGGGGGGGCTGGGATGCCCCATGGAGCGCATGGAAGTGGAGCCCAGCGGGGCGGGGGGGGCCCTGCGGAGGTCCAACAGCGCCCCCCTCCTGCCGGGGTCCTGCGGGTAGGAGAGGGGGGTCCCGCGGCGGGGGGGGGGCAGGGGGTCCCGGCGCAGCCCGTGACGCAACTCACCCCCTCCCCGCCTTTCCTTCCTTGCAGGACCCCCCCGCGGAAGGAGGAGCCGGCCGGGCCCCCCCGGAGCCGCCGCAGCAGCGTCTGCCTGGACAGCGGGCTGGGGGTGAGCGCCCCCCCCATAGCCGCATTGCAAGGGGGGGCTCTGCATGTGGCCCCCCAAAAAAGAAAGCCCCCGCTTGCAAAGGCTCATTGCCCTTTCCCCTTTTCTCTTGCAAGGTTGAGGCCGTGAGCGAGACGCTCCCCAGAGTTTGGGGGGCCCCCAGCAGCAGGTGAGGCTTTTCTTTTAGGGGGTGCAAAATGGGGGGGGACACCTGGCCCCGCAGCTCCAGCTTCAGCTTCTCCTGCTTTTGCAGGGCGCCCCCTGGCGGCCTCCACGGCGGCAGCCCCGGACCGGGGACCAGCTATGGGGTGAGTGTGGGGCGCAGAGGAGACGGGGGGGGGGGGTTCGGAGTGGCAGGGCGGGGCAGGGCCCCCCTAATTGTTTCCCTCTCTCTCTCCCCCAGTTTTCCAGCCCCCCCAGTGCTGTGACCCCCCACTCCTGGCATCTCCAGAGGTGGGTCGGAGGGGGAGGGTTGCAGGGGGTTGGGATGGATGACCCTCGGGGTCCCACCTCTGCTATAGCAGCTGAACTGACATGACCTTTGCCCCCCCCACCTGCTCCCCTCTTCCAGGCTCCCCACCTCCCCAAGCACAAGGACCCCCCCAACGCTGGAAACCCTGAAGAGGAAAGGTAGAAAAAGAAAAGGGGGAAACATGGAAGAACATGAGCATTGCTGGTGGAGGGGCCCCTCTCATTTGTGGGGGGCTCCAAGAGCGTGAGCAAAATGGGGGGTACCTGGGAGGGGGCAGTTACGGGGGGGCACGATACTGATTCTCTACCCCTCACCCCCATCTCTGCTTCTCGTTGCAGGAGGACTGGACATCGACTCCCCCCCGAAAAAGCTCTTTGTGGCGGGGGTCCCCCTCACGCCCCCAGCCCCATAGCTG